GTCGAGTCAAGACCAGCAACACTCAAACTTAGGAACGGAAACATCCGGCTGCATGAAAATGAACCGAAAAAACAAATTACTTTTCCAAAAGTAAAATATCAGTAATAAATAAATAAATAAATAAATAAATATTTCAAAAATATTAAAGAAAAACATTCAACGACTAATATACATCCGCCTGCAGTAGCCTAATCTGAACTGGAAAAAGTAGCCTACTTTTCCAAAATAATTAATTTATAATAGCCTAATTACCAATTTAATTAAAAAACTATTATACTGACATTAATAAAATATTTAACAAATACAATTCAAATATTAATCTACAAATTATCCAAAACTAGGCTATAAACAAAGGTCATTCTCTTGATAGTCTTTTCTTTTCATCTATTTTTTTAAATAACCAATACAAATGAAAACATTTATTTAAAAAAAAAAGTAGACTTACCGCCCCTGTTTAGTAATGATCATTTCTGTTTGGTGTCTGTGGAATTTGAACCACAGCGCCCGGTTACAGAGGTAAACCTGGGCTTTTCCGGGCACCGAGGCGAAAGGATAGACGGCGGAGTTTAGGTAAGTTTGTCCGTATGGCTGTGAATACGCGTAGCTCAGTTCATACGGCCCGTTGCTGATGACCGGGCGAGGTGTCAAGTAGTGACTGGAGAGTGGCGGGAGCCCGGGCACTACAGGCTGCCGCGAATACGAGAACATGGCAGAAGATGAGGCGAAATCTGTCCGCGCTTGACTTGATTCAGGCAAATTACACTTGTCCGCACTTCCCGCGGAAACGTAATCCAGAGCGTTTGAGGGGCTCCTCATCTCTGTCGAGAGTCTTTTTAACGGTGGCTCGTTCATCAGGGTGTCACGGGAGGAGGAGACGCGGGCGGTGATGTGCGTCAACACCGGTTTGTTGGCCAGCGCGGACGGTGAGGGGGGTTGCTGCAGGTGCATAACTCATAAAGTTCTGCTTGTTCAACCTGCGTTCAGACCTCAGACATGCTGCTTTGGGTTGTTCACGCTCACTGCTGCATGTGCCAGGAGCGCGTGTTCACCGAGCTTAATATAGGAAAATGAAGTGGCAGTGGGCAGTGCGCTGGTATTTACATTGAGATTGGTATTAAAGTAGATGTAAGCTTTTTTTTTGGAGTAAAATGGCCCTGCTACCTGACTTCTGTAATTAAAATAGCTGCGAAATCACTATAAACCGAAGAAAACAACCACAAAAAGAATCTGATCGTGACAATCCAAAATCTATATAGCGGACATTTATCAAAAAGGTCTTGGTTTTTGTTTTCAGCAGCGTTCGGACACTATTTTTTAAGTATTAGCCTATTACTTATTAATAGGCAGCGTTTTGTTTTAATTTTATTTAGTTAAGCAGCTTTATAGCTTTTCCCATTTGGTTTAAGGTGGAATATTTTTGCATAATGACAGCTGAACTGGTGCTATATTTTCATAACTCGTATCACTCAACGGACTCATTTAACAGAATAGATAACTGGCACGTTTTTGCGTTTAAAAACAGTTTGCCGTAAAACGTGCCTGAAGGCCTTCAGTACTGATTTTAACAATATAAGGTGAGCATAAAACTTTCATAAAATGGATAAGCTGAGGTACAAAATGCCAGATGAGAGAATAAAATAAAGGAATATGGGTTACATTATTTAAATCTAATTAATCCATATCGGAATCTAGTTCATAGCGGAAGTGATCAAATAATCTTCAAATAAAAATTAACAAACAATTTCTGTGCAATATTTTGCATATTTGCTTAATTTCGGAGAAAATGCTATTTAATAGGTACAGATTTGAAAACTCCGATTCAGAGTTTGAAAGGAAAAGAGGTTAAAAAATATTCCTGAATTCAAGTGAAACCTTTTAGATAGGAACAACCCTGTTTACCGAGCAGGCAAATAAATATTTCACACTGATGCTCACTTAAGTGTGGTCCTGAAGTGCTGTCATCTTAAATAAGGTGTTTCAGTGTTGTTCTGTGAAAATCTCTCTCAGAGCCTGGAGCTTCAAGGGGAGGACAACTGATTTACACTGAAAACTACAGTACATACTTTTTATATATTTTTGGACATATAGTTTAACAGTTGCTTGTCTTTACATGTGAACCTTCCCTTGATGTCCATGATGGAAAGAAAATGGTATTACTGGAATTTTGTGTTTATTTCTTAAAAAGACAAAACAGTTGTAGAATATGAACATTTATGCACAGACAGAGAGGGAAATCACTGGAACACAACTGTGTCCAACATCGCTGCGAGGCACTGCACAATATTGGATGTCATAAGAACATCCACATGCTCTTCCAAATGCCGTTTGGGATCCTACAAAGAAATAGCTTTGGAATGTAAGCATCATTAAAATAAACTGTACACCACCTTTTAAAAGTTTGGTGTCAAGATTTTTTTTATGTTTTTGAAAGAAGTCTCTTTTGCTCACCATGGCTGCATTATTTTTGTGGAAAAACACAGAATAAATAGGATTATTTTTGAAATATTATTACAATTTAAAACATCTGTTTACTATCTTAATATACTTTAGAACGCATGTTTTTCCTGTGAAGCAAACAATCCACTATGGGTGGCAAGGCACTGTCAAAAGATCTCCGGGATAAAGTTGAGCAAGAATCCCTTGTCATTGTACTTTTTCTTACCTTATTGTAGTTTTTAGCCAGTTCGAGCATCTCCTTGACAATGGTCTCATTCAGTTTGCAGTGTTCACTGTAATCCTGCAGGGTCAGACCCTCCATCCAGCTTTTCTTGTGGAGGTTCAGCAACATCTGAACACAAACACACACTATGACTGTCTAGTTACAACAAATGAAGAACGAAAAGCATGTTTAAACATTATCTACAAGTTCAAACCTTCTGTTCCAATTCATTCTTCCTGTAGTTAATGGTAATGGAGTAATAATGTCTGTTGAGCCCATGAATCAAAGCCTGCAAAAAAGAAACAACCCGTAATAAATAATAGTAAGAATATATATAATAAATATTTAACTTATTTTTAAAAAATATTTATCGTAGAGAGACATATTGAAAATGAACCTGAATAGAGGGCTTGTTGAGGTGTCCCAGGTTAGAAGTGGTTTGACGTGGCTCGTGACCCAGTACCATCATATTGGCATTTATTAGCCTGAAAGCATCAATCACAACCTGGAGAGAAAAAATCAAAAGTGCCGTTCACGTCACTGTAGCTAATCAATGGCTTATAAACATGTTTTGTTTTTAAGTTTTAGTTTTAATGCATTATGGGAGCTACAAAGCAACCTCGCTCTGTTTCTAGAGAGTGAGAGGACACCAGTAAATAAAATTTGATGTAATCCGAAGGAACAAAAGATAGAGAGAGACACATTTACAGTAAGAGCACAGGCTTTGCAACAATAGCTAATGCTTTGTGCTGTCACATCACATATGCGATGACAGCAAACCTGAGCTCACATACAGGTCAGGCCTGCCCACACAAACACTGTGTAGAGCATATACACACATACACATAATGGAGGAGAAGTGACAGACAGTTTAGGGTGGTGATATAAACCTCTTCTCCACCATAGGGCAGAGTGGTTCTAGTTGTAAAACCATGCCATTCTGGGCTAGTTTTTTCTGCTGTGGTTCTATGAATTCAGGATTAGACTGTATGTTACTTTAGAGACAGCTTGATACTGTAAGCATTGGAGCAAGTGCACCATTGAGGATGATCATATCATATACACTACCGTGCAAAGTCTTACGCCATTAGAATGTCACCAACAAAAAAATGGTTTTAAGTAGGAATGCACCGAAATTATCGGCCGAAAAAGCCATTTTCAGTTTTCGGCCAAAAATAGGCTATATGGCGCGCCGCACCGCCCAGCAGTGTTCAGCACACCGGTTTCTCTCTCCCTATAGCCGGATTTTTGATGGAGTTCTTGCTTTGGACAAAAGAGGGAGGGATTGTGTAGAAAGTATCGATCACACACACACATACATGAAGTAACGCCTCCTGAACCCTGGGGACTCGTTAGATCCTGACTGAACCAAATGGTGTAAAATCCTGCAGTGTCCCGCATCTGTGCTGAGGGGGACGTTCCCTCTGTCAGGATGTGCGGTGTGAGTGTGTGATCCTCACATGGTGTATTATCATCAGGCACAGGAGAAAGATAGAGAGACCATGTAGTGCTGAAACCATGAAGAACTCACAACAACACTCTTTAAACCATGTAAACTTGCACCATGTTCACAGAGACGCGATGATACTCTGGAGATGTGGGATATGAATATTTTAAAATGGAAAACAAACAAGCGCAAGGCAATGCAATGAAACCTTCCAGGTCAAATGCTTCAACTAAAGTTAAAGTTCAGCTAAAAGTTTCATTGCCTGCCCCCATCCCTGACTCAAATATATAAAGTAAAGATATATTAAGTAAATTATATTATTTGTCAATGACTCTCCATGCACATAAATTTATGTATGTGTATATATATATATATATATATATATATATATATATATATATATATATATACTGCAGCAACTCTGAAGCAGTTGCAGAAATTTATAACAATGTCATTGTGTGCATGTGACACCAATATCACACATTCTCTACAAATGTGGCTTATATGGGAAGGTTACAAGAAAAAAAAAGCCACTCCTCAAGAAAGGCCACATGCAGTCACGACTGAACTTTGCCAAAATGCACCTTGAAGATTCTGAGGCAGATGAGACTAAAATTGAATTATTTGGCCTCAACACCAAACGATAATCCAATATAGCTCACCATTCAAATAGCAGCATTCCTACAGTAAAGCATGGAGGTGGTAATATCCTGTTATGGGGGTGTTTCTCTGCAGCAGAGACTGGAGCACTTGTCAGGATAGAGAGAAAAACAGATGGGGCAAAAATACCATCAAATTCTTGAGGAAAATCTGCTGCCCTCTGCCAGAAAGTTTTAAATGGGAAGAAGGTTTACCTTCCAACATGACAATGACCCAAAGCACACAGCAAAACTGACCACACAGTGGTTGAAGGAGAAAAAAGTGAATGTCCTTGCATGACCTAGTCAGAGCCCAGACTTAAACCCCATTGAAAATCTGTGGAATGACTTGAAGACTGCAGTCTACAAACGGTCATCATCAAATTGAACTGAACTCGAGCAGTTCTGCAAAGAAGAGTGGGCAGATATTACAAAATCTAGATGTGCAAAGTTAGTAGAAACGGAGACAAATCCCAACAGACTAAAGGCTGTAATTAAAGCAAAATGTGGTTCAACAAAATACTGACAAAAAGGGGGGATGATCCTTTTTCCAACTCTGATTCTGGTTTAAAAAAAAATCTAACATGGTGTTATATCTTTCACTTGGATGTTATAAGTTGCACTGAATAAATACAGCTGGATGAAACAAAATCTGTGTCCGCCTTCATTTCATGCTCCAAAGCAACAAAATGTGATTATTTTAAAGGGGGTGATTCTTTTCTATACCCACTGTATACCTCTATTTATCTATCTATCTGTCTGTCTGTCTGTCTGTCTCTATTCTCTCTCTCTTTATATACTATATATAGTATATTTATTATTTTATTTATATTATATATCTATCTATCTATCTATCTGTCTTTTTATCTTTATAATATATGTAGTAAATTGATTATTTTATTTATGTTATGTAATATTTATTAAAAGTTGTATGTTAAAAATGAAATTGTCCTGATGATGTGTTTGAGACAATTAACCAAACTGCTTATTTTAGCTGATGCTTTGACTCGACTGGATGGCTCACCGCTCCATTACACTAACTGGCGCTCCAAAGCTCCAGATGTAAATACAGCTGGATCAAACAAAAAATGTGTCCATCTTCATTTCAGGCTACAAAGCAACACAATGTGATTATTTTAAAGGGGGTGATTCTTTTCTATATACCCACTGTAGATAATTATAAATGTCTATAATGTCACTTTTGATTAATTTAATGCATCCTTGCTGAATAAAAGCATTCATTTCTTTTTCTTTTTAAAAAAAATCTTATTTACCCCCAAGTTTGAATAGTAAATATTCTGGCTCCAAAAATATTTACATAACCATCAAAATGATAAAATTATATCATATCTGAGCATATCTGTACAATATGTTATTTGCGTTCTCTCTCTTTTTTATTTATTTATTTTTTTTAAATGCCCCTATCCTCTTCCTATAATACCTTCTCCTATAATAATCTCTCTTCCTGTCCCCATCCCCCTACCCAAGGCTGATGGGAGAGATGCAGTCCTCACACTTTCTCACGTGGTTCAGAGAGTGCTAATAGAGCTCACAGCGGCAAACAGACAAGAAACAAAAAAAATCAGGCATCCATGACTCTCACACTCTGACAGGAAGTGTGAGCGCACATTCACATATCCAGAAGAAAAGAAAGATCTCTGAATTTCTGAATAATGTGCGTGTGAGAAGTGCTAACATCTGTAAAATGAAAATACTTCTAAATAACGACCTACTGCTTTAAAATTTTGCATATGTTTATGGACTTTTACCTTTCCCTTGACACTTTGGATGGGATCGACCACCACGGCAACGGCACGTTCTGACAGCGCCTCAAAACTCTGCTGTGTGTTAATGTCCACACCTGACAACCAGCAGCCAAAACCAGGGTGACTGTGGTACCAGCCCACCACCATCTCAGGCCTTCAACACAGAGATCGCAAACCCTCACAATCCGACATACAATTTCATCACAGAGCAGTAGTTATGTTTTCACCATTCTCTCACCTTCCCGTCTGCTTTAACATGTCCAACATCTTGGCTTGAAAAACAGGGTCCACGGCCTCCACGCTCACACCCTGTCAACGGAACACACATCCAGAATCACTTTAGAAGCACGGGTGAACACAGTGTAGAGTGTAAAACACACTAGAGCTTGCTGTTAAATACAGTGATTCAAATGTGATGGGACATCTTTTGAAATACAATAATAATTGAGTGGGGAAAAAAACACTTTAGTCAGGATATCAAGTCGTTGGTGAGGGTGGGAGATATTTATTGTCTTCGATAATATCGTACTTGCTGTTTTAATGATGTGCGAGCTGACATTATGTACTCACTTTGCAAACAAACAGACAAAAACACATCATTTTTGAGAGTACAAAAGCATTCACTGCAAGATGAAGCCCATTCCTGTATGGGTTTTCATCCTTATAAAATATGATATAGTTAAGTAATATCACACAAGCAAGAGTGCCGTTTCCTGAATATCAGTGTGTGAGTGAATGTGATATTAATTTTATACAACAGTTCAACGGACAAGAAGTTAATACTGAGTGAGTTACATTTTAGAAACAATACTAATTTTTTTTCTGTTTTGCCAACAAAAAGAGCTCCAAACTAAAGTTGAAGCAGAACATGTGTGCGTCTCAGAGCAACACTGCAGTGTTTCATTCCTGAATGAGTCAGTTTTTGAACAAATCATTTGAGTCCGTGATTTAATGATCCGTTTATAAAGACAGTCACACTTCATTTCTAAATGAATGAGCTGTTTTGAACAAACTGTTTGAATGAATGATTCAATGAATGTACCGGCCGAAGTACCAGCACAAAAACACACTCAGCAAAATATTGTATAATTATTAGATAGATAGATAGATAGATAGATAGATCTTTTTTTGTCAATATCACACACCCCTAGTCAATGGGAACATTTTCACTCACTGTTCCTGACTGTGGCATGGCAAACACGTCAATCACGCGTACAGTGTAATCATCTACAAACTCCCCCAGCATCAGACCCATGACTTCCATGGGCACACCAGCACGGCCATGTTTCAGCATCTGCACACACAGACAAAGAGATAGATTGAGAGAGAGGAAAAATTACAAAAACAATGGAGACATTTAACTTAATGCTTGCGCTCTTAAATACTGACAATCAGACTGGCACTGACCAATCACAGGGCAAAAATAATGTTTTTGGCCTCAAATTATTCTAATCATACACCCATAATAGCAATATAAAATTTATTAACAGAATCAAACTGAAACTGTGACAACAACACCATGATACAAACCAAACCAGAAGAAATGAACCATTACTGTTACACTATATTTTGCACAGTGCAAGAACAGGCGTGGAGGGTGAGTGTGAGAGAGAAGAATCATGTGTATCCTGACCTTCAGCAGGGCGAGTGAGGAGATGTACACCTGTTCAGCTGTGTCCACAGCGGGGGCATCTGTGGGAGGACCCTGCAGAAAACACACAGTCCAGATCAGTCAAATCTCTTCAACAAGACACTGCTTATATTTGTTGCAAGCTGATTTGACCAATCAAATCAAACCAATTATTCCCAGGATCTGGATTTTTGATATCAGCAATTAGGTTTTCAATAGTTAAAATAATCATCCTTAACATCAGGAATGGAATTGTCAGTAGTACAAATATTTTTATAATAAATAATTATATTTCCACTACTAAAAATGAACTTCTGATATCAAAAACAGTAAAGGTGAATTCTTGATGACAAACATTACATAATCAAAAACTGAATTTTAACTAGTAAAAATGTGCAATTATTGATATCTGTAATTGCATTTTAACTAGTTAAATATCCCAATGATCTGCCATTTAAATGGAGTTACAGATATTTTACTAATAAAAACTCAATTCCTGATATTAAATATGATCAAAAACTAGCTAGTGAAATTGAATTGCTAATATCGAAAATGCATATCCTGGCAATTACTTAAAGTAAAATTGGCTTGCTATTGCTACAAATATCAGCCCTCGGTGAGATGCGAGTTTAAAATGCTAGTTATCAGACCGTTCAACCTGCATTGAATCCATTTACTTTTCTAGCTAGATACAAGTTTAAAGGGGTCCTATTATGCTTTTTCACTTTTTCAACTTTAGTTAGTCTGTAATGTTGCTGTTTGAGCATAAAAAAGATCGGCAAAGTTACAAAGTTCAAAGTCCACTTCAAAAGGAGATATTTTATTTAACAGAAATCACTTTCAAAAACTACAACGAACGACTTGTTTGGACTACAACCCATATTTTCCGGGATTTGTGATATCACAAATATCGACGAATGGGATGAGACCTGGTTGAGCTGCACCAGAGAAGGCAACGAGTGTTATCACTATGTCGCAGACACGCTAGCTTTACGAACTTAGATTGGTTACAATCATCCGGGTTTAAATTGACTTGATATTGACGCAATATTTACACTGAAGCTCGCAGGCGGCTATGGTAAGGGGCATGACATTTCCCGACCAGGCGCCGAGTGCTGCCAATCACAACACACACTGGCCCGGATAACCAATCACAGCACATTTCGTATTTCAGAAGGCGGGCCTTCATTTGATACAGGAACTATTCGAGCCGTTCATGCCAGACTGGGGAGAGAGGTGTTGTAATAATGTAAAATTTGTGAAAAATAATGTGTTTTTCGAACAACCTAGTATGAGAGCCTGTTCTAGTACACCCCCAAAACAAAATCAAGACTTTGTAAAAGAGCATAATAGGACCCCTTTAAAAGAACTTGAGACTGGCGGAAGACTGAGAAATGTGATAGTAATGCAATAAATCTGTAAACAAATGTAATAAGGGTAATAAAATTTAAGGGTGGCTCTTTTGTAAACAAATTATGACTTTTATTATATAATTATTTATTATAAATGATTTTTATTGGAGATGAAAAGTGTTTATTGATATTTGATGTGACAAAGCTGTTTCTATAAACAAATAATTTTATTAACAGAAACCAAGACTGATGATAAATTAACAATTATTTAGAAATTCAAAGAACTGTATGTTGTTCAATAAGAACAATATTTAAGTTACTGAAGGTAAAAAAATAACTATAATTGCAGTTTACTGTATTTTGTGGTTTTTTTTACATTTTAATATTGATATAAGTTTGATCATTTTAACATACTAATAATAATGTATTTACTTAAATACCTTCAGTTATCATGTGGAGGAAGGAATATATTATCATTGTTGGAGGGGGAAAAAAGAAATGAATCAAATCAGTCAATGGTGGCAGGAGATCTGGACAGAAGTGCAGTTGCAGGTTCATAGATTGAGGTGCTGACTAGCATGGTCTGATTGACAGCTGAGACCTGAAGTGTAGAACTGATGCCGTGGTGATGCCTGATAAACAGATGGATGAAGAGCCATCCTGCGATATCTATCCATCAGCTTGGGAAACATCTTTTAGTGGTTTAGTGACCCTTGTGTAATTGTCATGTATACATTTATGTACCTCAATTATCATCGAATACACAAACATAAGGCCATACAGATAGGTGTGAACATCAAACAGCCAATAAGAGCTCACTGGGATTTAAAAAAAATCAATATGAATCCAATCAACACTGTCAATCAATACTGTATGAAATATTAAGTTTTAAACATGAAGCATGTGCAGCTGTAGATGGAAATAGGAGTATGAAAGCAGCATGACTGAAAAAAAAAAGAAAAGAATCATAGGTGTTTTTTCCTCTCGCTCTCTTCTGTGCTGACTGCTGGAGTGGGGTGTGAATCAGAGGGAGGCAGCCTGTCACTGCAAGTGTTAATTGGCAGAGAGAGGTGAGAGATGTCTCTCTACCCATCATGTGCACAGGCCTTGAGAAAAACCACATGAGGACGCTCTACCAATACCGCCGCCACCCCCCTCGACAACACCACCCAAAAAAGCACCATATTTGTGTGCCTACTTAACTTCTGACACATTTATGCTCACATAAAGTTCATAGAAAATCTCCAGCATAGGGACTTTCACTAACAGGAAGTGTTTGCAGTAAACCAAATGCTATTTTGCCAAATGTGCTTTTAACCCTGATGGAGGGAAAAAAAACATCGTAAAGGCTGGCCAGGCAGGACTGATGACTGGTTATTAAGAGATTTAGGTTTTAGGCACAATCCCAAAAACACTTATGCTTAGGGATGCACCGATATGAAAATTTTGGCCGATACCGATAACCGATAATTCTTTATTTTTGAAAGCCGATAACCGATATGTTGGCCGATAAATCTATATCCAAATTTTTATATACTTTTTGAGAGCCTGATTACAAAAAAGGTCTCATCATTAAAAGCCACATCCCAAACACTTCAACATAAGCAGCCTAGTTTGAACGGTGTACGTTTTAAAAATAATGTTACTCTCCCATTACCAAATTTAGTCATAAAAAAGTCTTACAAATAAATAAAATAATGCATAAATAATGCAAACAAGTCACTGGACATCATTACACGTTTAAAGAATCAAAATGAATGCGCCATAGATCAATAAAACGGAATAGCCTCTGCACAGACAATAATTAAATGATTTTAATTACTAAACCATATTGTTGATGAAAATAATAAGAGAAAAATACAAGTGGTTGTTATTATTAATAATGTATCAATGATTTTGAAAAAGTAACAAATTAATACCACTGTTTTAAATAGCAGCCGTTTGAGCTGCGCGTGCTGAAGGAGGGTGGGAGATATTTATTGTCTTCGATAATATCGTACTTGCTGTTTTAATGATGTGCGAGCTGACATTATGTACTCACTTTGCAAACAAACAGACAAAAACACATCATTTTTGAGAGTACAAAAGCATTCACTGCAAGATGAAGCCCATTCCTGTATGGGTTTTCATCCTTATAAAATATGATATAGTTAAGTAATATCACACAAGCAAGAGTGCCGTTTCCTGAATATCAGTGTGTGAGTGAATGTGATATTAATTTTATACAACAGTTCAACGGACAAGAAGTTAATACTGAGTGAGTTACATTTTAGAAACAATACTAATTTTTTTTCTGTTTTGCCAACAAAAAGAGCTCCAAACTAAAGTTGAAGCAGAACATGTGTGCGTCTCAGAGCAACACTGCAGTGTTTCATTCCTGAATGAGTCAGTTTTTGAACAAATCATTTGAGTCCGTGATTTAATGATCCGTTTATAAAGACAGTCACACTTCATTTCTAAATGAATGAGCTGTTTTGAACAAACTGTTTGAATGAATGATTCAATGAATGTACCGGCCGAAGTACCAGCACAAAAACACACTCAGCAAAATATTGTATAATTATTAGATAGATAGATAGATAGATAGATAGATCTTTTTTTGTCAATATCACACACCCCTAGTCAATGGGAACATTTTCACTCACTGTTCCTGACTGTGGCATGGCAAACACGTCAATCACGCGTACAGTGTAATCATCTACAAACTCCCCCAGCATCAGACCCATGACTTCCATGGGCACACCAGCACGGCCATGTTTCAGCATCTGCACACACAGACAAAGAGATAGATTGAGAGAGAGGAAAAATTACAAAAACAATGGAGACATTTAACTTAATGCTTGCGCTCTTAAATACTGACAATCAGACTGGCACTGACCAATCACAGGGCAAAAATAATGTTTTTGGCCTCAAATTATTCTAATCATACACCCATAATAGCAATATAAAATTTATTAACAGAATCAAACTGAAACTGTGACAACAACACCATGATACAAACCAAACCAGAAGAAATGAACCATTACTGTTACACTATATTTTGCACAGTGCAAGAACAGGCGTGGAGGGTGAGTGTGAGAGAGAAGAATCATGTGTATCCTGACCTTCAGCAGGGCGAGTGAGGAGATGTACACCTGTTCAGCTGTGTCCACAGCGGGGGCATCTGTGGGAGGACCCTGCAGAAAACACACAGTCCAGATCAGTCAAATCTCTTCAACAAGACACTGCTTATATTTGTTGCAAGCTGATTTGACCAATCAAATCAAACCAATTATTCCCAGGATCTGGATTTTTGATATCAGCAATTAGGTTTTCAATAGTTAAAATAATCATCCTTAACATCAGGAATGGAATTGTCAGTAGTACAAATATTTTTATAATAAATAATTATATTTCCACTACTAAAAATGAACTTCTGATATCAAAAACAGTAAAGGTGAATTCTTGATGACAAACATTACATAATCAAAAACTGAATTTTAACTAGTAAAAATGTGCAATTATTGATATCTGTAATTGCATTTTAACTAGTTAAATATCCCAATGATCTGCCATTTAAATGGAGTTACAGATATTTTACTAATAAAAACTCAATTCCTGATATTAAATATGATCAAAAACTAGCTAGTGAAATTGAATTGCTAATATCGAAAATGCATATCCTGGCAATTACTTAAAGTAAAATTGGCTTGCTATTGCTACAAATATCAGCCCTCGGTGAGATGCGAGTTTAAAATGCTAGTTATCAGACCGTTCAACCTGCATTGAATCCATTTACTTTTCTAGCTAGATACAAGTTTAAAGGGGTCCTATTATGCTTTTTCACTTTTTCAACTTTAGTTAGTCTGTAATGTTGCTGTTTGAGCATAAAAAAGATCGGCAAAGTTACAAAGTTCAAAGTCCACTTCAAAAGGAGATATTTTATTTAACAGAAATCACTTTCAAAAACTACAACGAACGACTTGTTTGGACTACAACCCATATTTTCCGGGATTTGTGATATCACAAATATCGACGAATGGGATGAGACCTGGTTGAGCTGCACCAGAGAAGGCAACGAGTGTTATCACTATGTCGCAGACACGCTAGCTTTACGAACTTAGATTGGTTACAATCATCCGGGTTTAAATTGACTTGATATTGACGCAATATTTACACTGAAGCTCGCAGGCGGCTATGGTAAGGGGCATAGAGAGGTGTTGTAATAATGTAAAATTTGTGAAAAATAATGTGTTTTTCGAACAACCTAGTATGAGAGCCTGTTCTAGTACACCCCCAAAACAAAATCAAGACTTTGTAAAAGAGCATAATAGGACCCCTTTAAAAGAACTTGAGACTGGCGGAAGACTGAGAAATGTGATAGTAATGCAATAAATCTGTAAACAAATGTAATAAGGGTAATAAAATTTAAGGGTGGCTCTTTTGTAAACAAATTATGACTTTTATTATATAATTATTTATTATAAATGATTTTTATTGGAGATGAAAAGTGTTTATTGATATTTGATGTGACAAAGCTGTTTCTATAAACAAATAATTTTATTAACAGAAACCAAGACTGATGATAAATTAACAATTATTTAGAAATTCAAAGAACTGTATGTTGTTCAATAAGAACAATATTTAAGTTACTGAAGGTAAAAAAATAACTATAATTGCAGTTTACTGTATTTTGTGTTTTTTTTTACATTTTAATATTGATATAAGTTTGATCATTTTAACATACTAATAATAATGTATTTACTTAAATACCTTCAGTTATCATGTGGAGGAAGGAATATATTATCATTGTTGGAGGGGGAAAAAAGAAATGAATCAAATCAGTCAATGGTGGCAGGAGATCTGGACAGAAGTGCAGTTGCAGGTTCATAGATTGAGGTGCTGACTAGCATGGTCTGATTGACAGCTGAGACCTGAAGTGTAGAACTGATGCCGTGGTGATGCCTGATAAACAGATGGATGAAGAGCCATCCTGCGATATCTATCCATCAGCTTGGGAAACATCTTTTAGTGGTTTAGTGACCCTTGTGTAATTGTCATGTATACATTTATGTACCTCAATTATCATCGAATACACAAACATAAGGCCATACAGATAGGTGTGAACATCAAACAGCCAATAAGAGCTCACTGGGATTGAAAAAAAATCAATATGAATCCAATCAACACTGTCAATCAATACTGTATGAAATATTAAGTTTTAAACATGAAGCATGTGCAGCTGTAGATGGAAATAGGAGTATGAAAGCAGCATGACTGAAAAAAAAAAGAAAAGAATCATAGGTGTTTTTTCCTCTCGCTCTCTTCTGTGCTGACTGCTGGAGTGGGGTGTGAATCAGAGGGAGGCAGCCTGTCACTGCAAGTGTTAATTGGCAGAGAGAGGTGAGAGATGTCTCTCTACCCATCATGTGCACAGGCCTTGAGAAAAACCACATGAGGACGCTCTACCAATACCGCCGCCACCCCCCTCGACAACACCACCCAAAAAAGCACCATATTTGTGTGCCTACTTAACTTCTGACACATTTATGCTCACATAAAGTTCATAGAAAATCTCCAGCATAGGGACTTTCACTAACAGGAAGTGTTTGCAGTAAACCAAATGCTATTTTGCCAAATGTGCTTTTAACCCTGATGGAGGGAAAAAAAACATCGTAAAGGCTGGCCAGGCAGGACTGATGACTGGTTATTAAGAGATTTAGGTTTTAGGCACAATCCCAAAAACACTTATGCTTAGGGATGCACCGATATGAAAATTTTGGCCGATACCGATAACCGATAATTCTTTATTTTTGAAAGCCGATAACCGATATGTTGGCCGATAAATCTATATCGCTACTTAATATTTTTGTGTAAACTGTGACCATTTTTTCAGGATTATTTGATAAATTTAAAGCTCAAAAGAACAGCATTTATTTTAAATAAAAATCTTTTGTAACATTATAAATGTCTTCACTGTCCATTTACTGCATCCTTGCGGAATACAAGTATTACATTCTTTAAAAAAAATGTTAAAAAATAAAACGTACTGTCCCCAAAATATTTGAACGTTTGTATAGCGGAGTATTTTCTATTGATAGCACGTTGGGCAGGACATATTGAATTGCCTTTTTAAATTAAATTTAACCAGATTTATTCTTAAATTTAGAATTAAACCTTTCTCTTTTTTGTAAAACCACTCACCTTTTAATGGGCAATTATAAGTTTTATTATAATAATTTTTATTTGTCATTTTGAAAAATACACAAATAACATGACAGTCATAGGAATTGCATTATGGAGATCATCTATGAATATTTCCCAGTCTCTCACTGTGTGTGACGGCAGGTGTAGTAAACATCAGTGTAGATATGCTGTGTGATGCAATCTTCAGCATTCTGCTGTCTAATAACTGCAGGCTGCTGTCACTCACAGTAGATGCTATACAAAACATTATGTTTATTAAATATTTCAAAATCTCAATACATATTACCTGGCTGAGTCCGGGCATTCCCCCTCCAAGCCTCAAAAGCCGGTCCATTCCTTAGATCTAGACACATATAAATAAGCAGTGATCTTTAGTTTACAAACTTGTCAGTCCTTTCATATTAAAAGACCTGGGCACGTTACTGAACACTGCTGATTCATTAATATTGTATGCATGCATTCAAAAACCCCTACATTTCCTTATGAACTGTTTTCAAACTGTAACTAATATAAATATTCCAAGTTGTCCACCCCAAAATTAACATAATAAGAGCTTTTTTTGTGATATACAAAAATCAGTCGCAGAAGATTTTAATTCACTGTCAAACATCAGAATGCTAACATGCTAAGCTATTTAGCATAGTGCTATTTACACATACTCATATGTAGCTTGTGAGCACATAAACAACGGGAAAACTAACATTTGTAAACTCAAAACAGACTATAAAATAGGACAACATCACTTGATGTTACTCATTCATAACTTCAGTTAATCTCTAAACAACTGTAAGAAAGGCTAATAATGCTACAGAGGTTAAATACATCACTCAACTACAACTAAGAGTGTTTAATCACAGAAACATCCTCTCGCACAGAACAACACGCCATAAACAACTCTTTAATGATCGTAAACCTGTATTATTTCTTTACCTGTGCAATGAGAGAGAGACAATGTCAGAGTGCCTGCTCAGTTTCAGCCCGACTACAATGAATCAGCCAGAATTACCACCGGGAATCTCACCACTGCGGGGTTATACAGGACGGAGCCTGGATTTTCAAAATAAAAGTTACTTAAACGCTTAAACGATGATGAGAATTTAGAGCTAGATAGTCTGTATTTCAATATATTTAATAATACAAATTAAAATATGACGAATTTCATTTTATGTTATATTATTTCGTCATATTTTCATATATATATACACACACACACACACACACACACACACACACACATATAGCGCTTTAGCTTAGTTTTATGATTTATCACCATTTAACAGCTGCCAGTGGACTTTTCTATATATTGTTTTCTTTTTATTCCCTTCTATTCTATTCTAGCTGTTTACTCTCTTTCACTGGTTTTTACACAGACGTAATTTTCACTTTCATTTCCTCTTCTCCCTCCTGCTGTCCTACACTCACAATCCAGGCTCCCTCATCCCACCAGTGTGAATTTCACATGGTCTCAGATGATCAGTGCAGAGAACATCTGATAATTGTGTGACAACAGGGAAGCATCTGCTCATGATGGACCTCCCTCTAATTTACAGCTTTATGTTAGATCAATTACTTGGATGTTATAAAGTCTAAGACCATATTAGAAATCTGGGAAATTAATTATTTATTTTGAAACTGGAAATATACAAAACATTTTAGTATTTTTTTATAACATTTAAATAATCAAATTCATGACATGAAAAGAAATTCATTGCAACATCATTTAAATTAGAAATATACAAAATCCTCTCGTGCTTTTGCTGCATGTGTCTATTACAGTAGCTACTCCTTGAGCGGATAGATTTATGACACTGAAGTTCTTAACACATTTTTTTCTCTGGAGTCTCACTCAAGAGGCACAACAGCGCCATGTGAGATTTCGTGTTAGATTAGCTACCATCATTTTACAGCGCTCTCCGGACAGACAGAGTTCTCCTGTGATGTCAAGAGAACTAATAACCACTAGATGGAAGACTTGAGCTGTGATTAAGTGCATGTGTTTCCATTTGCTAAATTATTGCTCTATTTACAGACTCAGGGACCAGTTTAGCCAACACAGAGTCCACATAAAAGCTAGAATTTCTCTGTAACACTTCTGTAAACCACACACACACACATATGAATATTATTCATATTATTTTAACATTTTTAATGTTTCAATATCAGAATCAGAAAGAACTTCATTAACAGGTATGTTTACAGATACAAGGAATTTGTTATGGTGACAGAAGCTTCCACAGCACAAACAGAATGCCAGTGATAGATAATAAAAATAGAATAAGTAATAGGAAATAGCAAAATACAGCAATTTTTTGAAGAAAAACACAATATACAAAATAGAGAATAGATGGTATTTGTGTACAGGTGTGTTATGTATAAATGCAAGGAAATGTGAATAAGAAGTATGGTGTTGTGTATTACACGTTTATTGCCAAGTTACCTGTTCATGAGATGGACTGCCTGAGGGAAGAAACTGTTCTTATGCCTGGCCGTTCTGGTGCTCAGCGCTCTGTAGCGCCGACTAGATGGCAACAGTTCAAAGAGGAAGTGGCCTGAATGTGAGGGGTCCAGAATGGTTTTGCCAGCCCTTTTCCTCACTCTGTATAAGTACAGTTCTAGGAGAGTGGGGAGGGTTGTACCAGTGATTCGCTCAGCTGTCCGGACTATCCACTGTAGTCTTCTGAGTTCAGTTTTAGTAGCTGAGCTGAGTTTAACCAGACAGTTACAGAGGTGCAGAGGACAGATTCAATGACTGCAGAGTAGAGCTGTATCAGCAGCTCCTGTGGCAGGTTGAACTTCCTCAGCTGGAAAAGGAAGTACAATCAATGTTGGGCCTTCTTGACTATAGAGTCTATGTCAAATTCCCACTTCAGGTCCTGAGATATGGTTGAGCCCTGGAACTGTTGGTGGTGATGGTGGTGCCCAGGTGCACCACTGTTGTTACAGTGCTGTCCATGATGGTGAGTGGGGGGAGTGCAGGGGGGTTTCTCCTGAAGTCCACTATCATCTCCACTGTTTTGAGTGTGTTCAGCTCAAGGTTGTTCAGACTGCACCAGATAGCCAGCTGCTCAACCTGGCTTCTATATGCAGACTCATCACCGTTCTGGATGAGGCCGATGACTGTAGTGTCGTCTGCAAGCTTCAGGAACTTGACAGAGGGGTCAGTAGGTACAGTCGTTGTTGTACAGGGAAAAGAGCAGTGGGGAGAGCACACATCCCTGAGGGGCACCAGTGTTGATGGTGCGGGTGCTAGATCAGAATTTTTTCAGCCTCACTAGCTGCTGCCTATCTGTCAGGAAGCTGGTGATCCACTGACAGATGGAGGTGGGCACAGAGAGCTGGGTTAGTTTGGACAGGAGGAGTGCTGGGTTTATGGTGTTGAAAACTGAGCTGAAGTCCACAAACAGGATCCTCACAGAAGTCCCTGATTTGTCCAGATGTTGTAGGATATAATGCAGTCTCATGTTGACTGCATCATCCACAGACCTGTTTGCACGGTAAGCAAACTGCAGGGGGTCCAACAAGGGTCCCGTGATTTCCTTCAGGTGGGCCAGTACCAGACTTTCAAATGACTTCATGACCACAGACGTTAAAGCAACAGGTCTGTAGTCATTTAGTCCTGTGATTTTGGGTTTCTTTGGAATGGGGATGATGGTGGAGCATTTGAAGCAGAAAGGGACTTTGCACAGCTCCAGTGATCTGTTGAAGATCTGTGAAAAGGCTTTTAGACAGGCTGGTGTAACACCGTCTGGGCCTGGTGCTTTTCTTGTCTTCTGTTTCCAGAAGACCTGACACAACATATTCACTGATCTGAAATGCAGGAGGGGGGAGAGGGAGGTTGCTGGAGGTGTTGATGGATCCATGGAGAGAGATGGTCAGAATTGGTGTGTGGTGTGAGACCGGGTTTTTCAAACCTGCAATAGAACTCATTCAAATCGTTGGCTAGTTGTTGATTCAACAAAGTTTGTGTATATTGTAGTTTGTGTATGTTGTAGCTTGAGATGTCTTACAGTCCTTTCCACACTGATGCAGGGTCGTTGGCAGAAACTGGTTTCTCAGCTTTTTGGAGTAGTTCCTCTTAGCCAATCTGATCTCCTTTGCCAGTGTGTTTTTTGCCTGTTTATACAAGACTTTGTCCCCATTCCTGTAAGCATCTTCTTTAGCCTAACGGAGCTGTCTGAGTTTTGCTGTGAACCATGGTTTGTTGTTGTTGAAAGTTAAATAAGTCCTGGTAGGGATGCCAAATCCTCACAGAAACTGATGTATGAAATTACAGTATCTGTGAACTCATCCAGATCGGTGGCTGCAGCCTCAAAAACACTCCAGTCAGTGCAGTCGAAACAGGCTTGTAAATCCTGCTCTGCTTAATTAGTCCATCTTTTTACAGTCGTTATTACAGGTTTAGCTGATTTCAGTTTCTGCCTGTAGGTCGGTAAAATGAACCAAACAGTGATCAGAGAGCCGCAAAGCTGCCCGTGGGACAGAGAGTGCAATGCATCCTTTATTGTGGTGTGGTTCAGTATACTGTCTTTGGTAGGCAATGTAACGTGCAGTTTGAATTTTGGAAGTTCACGGGAGAGATTTGCTTTATTAAAGTCACCAAGAATGATTATAACAGAGTCCGGGTGTTGTTCTGTGTCTGATCAGCCAGCCGTTGTAACGCTGTGTTCACACATGCTTGCGGAGGAATGTAAATTACGAGAATGAACAAGGAAAACTCCCGCGGTGAGTAGAACGGCTTACAGTTGATGAAGAGCGCTTCTAGATCGGGACAGCACATCTTCTTCAACGCTGTTACGACGCTGTTATGATAACAGTGCAACTACTTCTTGGCTGTGAAGTGGCATTATTTAATATTCATGAAGTGCTTCACAATAATTCTTAGTTTGTAAATGTAATTAAACGTGTTTACACACTGTAAAAAGTAATGAGTTGAACTTACTTGGAAAACCTGTGGAAACTGATTGCCTCAAATTTCTCAAGCAAATTAGTTTATAATTTTTGAGTTAATAAAACTTACTGTAACTTTGTATAGATAACTTGTGTATATGTATAGGTTACCAGAAAACTTGAGTGTTGCTAACTCAATTTGACAAGTTCAGCCAACTTTTTTGTTTTTTTAAAGAGATTTAAGTTAAGCTTAGTGCACAGAACTCAAACAAAACAGTTCTCTTAACAAGTCTGCTTTGTTCACATTACTAGACAAATGTGTGGAAACAGATTGCCTTAAATTTCTCAAGTAAGCTGTACTCAAAACTTGAAGTTGTTAATACAAAGACAGAAAACAGATTGTTAGCACAACAATAGGGCATTTATTTGTTTAAAACAATGTTACTTCAAGTCATTTCTTTTTAGGCATGCTATCAAATCAACAATTTAACACTGTAAGAAAAATTGCACATACTGCACTCAGGAAATAAATAGAAAAAA